GCGGAGTCCTGTGTTTTTAAAAGCCATGAAAAGCCGGCGGGCGGCCCTTTGAAACACGCGCACGTGAAAACCAAAGCAGTTCTGAAAACCCAATACAAAGCAGAGGTCGATATAGAAAGGCCACCCCCCCACACACACCTCCCGACTCGCTGAATAACTATCCCCGGAAAAAAAAAAAAAAAAAACCAACAAAAAACAACCCAACACTTAAATACAACTTCATAAATATTAAACCATGAAAAAAAAAAAAAATTGAGACTTGGCTTTCTTGTCTCCTGGTAAAAAAAAAAAAAAAAACCAAAACCAAACCACAAATACAGGTTAGGAGGGAAGGTAAGAAACAAGCGTCTAATATAGACAGTGACTTCAGCGATAGAGCGTAACCTGCTGGATCGAGCCAGAGGTACGGGGGAGGGAGACGGGAAGATCCAGCAGAGGCGGCGCGGGCGGCCCCGAGCCGATCTTCCTCCCACTGACGGGTCTCGGCGTGACGTGAATCGGTGTCGAAAGGTTTGAGAGCCCTTGAGAACCAAACAGTTTGTGAACAGCGACTGTCCTCGCGCTCCAGCAGCCCCCTGGGGATCCGGATACCCGGAGTAAGGCCATTCCGCTTGGTCTTTCAGAAAAAAAAAAAAAACACCAACAAAAAAACCAAACCAACAAACAGGATTTTAAAAAAAAAAATGCTTTTTCTTAAAAAATATCAGCTCGTGTCGCATCCGCTTTAGAAGCCTGAAGTGGAAGGTGGGAAGAGACTTGGCTCTGAAACAGCAACTAAAAAAATCCCTTTCTACACCACTACATTCTTTGTTTCCTTAGCAATCATTGCTAATTAGCGTAGAAACCCCTTGCACTACTGCAAGAGCAAACTTTAAATTACTTTTTTTTTTTTTTAATATATATATATAAAAAAGAAGGGAGGATTCTGACCCACCAGGAACACGGGGAAGAGTCACTTCATTTCTTTAAAAAAGCATTTAGTGAAAATAAAGATCAGTCCAACATCTGCTCTGAGAGCTCCAGAGAAGCATCTGCAGCTGGCGTGGGCCAGGCATCACCGCAGGGGAACGGCAGCGGAACAATCCCTCCTTCCAGCTTATTATTTTGCTTAAAATCGGACTCCAAACGCCCCACACTTTTGTGGGGGGCAGACGTCCGTCCCAACACCAGGCAGCCGTTTAGGTAGGGATTGCGGCTTCAAGCCGCCGGGAGCACCGGTGTCGACCGCGGCTACGATACAGGCAAGATATCAAAAGGGAGCCGAGCTATAAAATCGGGAAGGGTTTTTGCACATGGTGCCCACAGCAGGACGGAGGGCAGGGGAAGGGAACGGAGCAGCCTGGGTTTGGTCCGTTTGCTTAAGAAATACATTAAAAAAAGTGTGCCCCTTGGAAAGGTCTCCCTTCACCCGCGACTCCCTGCTTGGCGGGGGAGGGACAAAGGGCTTAGTTTAAAAACCAGGGGACAAAGCAATCCAAAACCTCCCTGACGTCTTAAAACCTTTGCACATTCAAGGTCCTCCGAGCGAGACAGCGCAGCAGCTAGCTCTCCTCGTCGCTGTCTCGGGGCGATGCAAGATTGAAAACGGAGGCGGCTCCGGCAGCCAGGAGCGGCTGGCGGGGGAGAGGAGCACATCCACAGTCAGCGCAGCTTCTGCTCCCCCTTCTCTGCCGCTCTCCTGTGAGATACTTTATGGTGGAACACTGGAAAAAAAAAAAACCCTATTTATTAAAAAAAAAAAATTACTATATTGCAGGACTAAAAAGAAGTGATATGACTGAATTCAGAGATGCATTTAAATTAAAAACTCGTTTAAAATACAAAATAAAACCACATTGCTCTGTCGCAAACTGCCCCAAGGAGGCTCTAATGCCCGTTTCCCCTCCAGTAACTCCAAAGAGTCGCCCGTTCTCGCTAGGTTTCTGGTGTCGGCATCGTAAGCAGCTAACTCCCTGAAAGTCAGATCCCTTTTCCAGAGGGCTTCAGCCCAAACAGAGCAGTTCCTCCTCCTCCTCTCGACAGCCGGCTTTGCTCCCGCCGGGCTTCAAAGAGAGGAGGACAGCGGGGACACAGTGGTGGGCTCTGCTGTACGGAGAATTCCAGGTGTCCGAGGCTCAGCTGTGCTGGCTCGGCCTTTGTTAATACCATCCCACTAAGTGTAGCCCAGCCTTCCAGCTTTTCGGTTTCTGTCCAGAGAAGATTTCTTTACAAAAAAAAAAAAATATATATATATATAATGAATCAGCAACAGGGGCTGAACGTTTGTCAGACTCCACAGACCACGCAGAGCACAGAACAATCAGCTTCCACCGCGGCGGTCTCAGCGTTGCTTCACTGCGAAGAGAAAAGAGGGGGAGATGCTGGGGAGGAGTCTGCCTTCCGAGGAGGAGGAGGAGGAGCAGCAGCAGGAGATCTCCTGCTGGTCCTCCCCTAAACCTGGGAGAAGCAAAGAGGGCTGTTGAGTTCGGCTGTGGTCAGGCTCACCCCAGCCACCATCTTACACTATAACAGGAGGGTCTGGGAGTATTTATCATCCGCTGTGGGGACAGCAAGACGAGCCTGGCCAGCTTCACCCCATTTTATCTCTGCCATCAGACCCACTCTGGGCCCTCAGGAAAGACGAATGCCTCTGCTTTGCCTCCTGCTTATCTAATTTAAGGGGGTTGGGGCAGCAGATTATCACTTAGAGCACGGATGTGGCCTAGCAGAAGGCAGGCTGAGCCTTCGCATACCAGAGGGGGATGAAGGCCATCTGCTCCTCTCTGGTCGACTCACACATCCCGCTCAGTGTCCGTGTTCCCAGCACAAGTAGGGACCATGTAACCCCCACAATTCTCCATCCACCTCCACAGCTGCTCTTTTCCTCCTGAACAGGGAACTACTCACAAAGCTTATCTCCGTCTCTTGCAGGTCTTCGAGCTGCTCTCTCAGCTCTGCGGAACGCTCGGGTATGGAAGGCCCTGGGGAGCCGCTGGGAAAACAGAAGGGGAAGACCTGTAAAGCAGTTTTTAGAAGTAATCCGTCAATAAATCACAACTCCAGGGCTGCCCTGCTGTACCCAGCACACGGAACGTCCCAGCACAGCACAAAGGCGTTTGTTAGGCAGGTTTAATACAGAGGCACTGGCAACAGGATCCCTGCTGGGCCAGGCACCCAAAACACCACCTAGAAAATCATCCCCCCCCTAGTCGACACAACTTCAGACATTAGAACAGAGGGTCTTTCATCCAGCCAAGCAGCAGCACCTCTGTACAGAAGTCTTCAAGCACCTCATCAACACAGAAATGGTCCTGGATGAAAACACTCCAGGGACAAAAAAACCCAGGAAGCACCAGAGCTCAGCGAGTCCCAGCCTTTCCAGAGGCACCCTTGTTTGAAAGCCCCTGGCAAACAACCTTTTACGCTCTGGATGCGAGCCGTAGCCTAACAGCAGGATATGCAACGTGAGGACACTGAGCACCTGATGAGATACATCGCCAGGGAGGAAAGGTGGGGCGCTGAAGACTCGCTTTACTCCAATACGCCCTGTTATTTTCCCACTTCTTTCCCGATCCCACAGCTAAAAGGCTGCAACCTGCTGGCTGAGGAACTCCAACTCCCAGCTTGGGTCTCGCCCCGCTTCCTACTGAGGATATGGTGACCACAGCTTCTCTCCTTGCCCCCCCGAGTGAGAATTCGAGTCTGGGAGTGTGTAATTCTCCGAGGCCAAGCAGGGCTCCCCAGCACACTGGCCATCAACAGAGGTTTCAGGACTGCCTATGGACCTGCTCAGCCCTCCGGCAGCTAACACCCAAGGCCTTGTCGCAGCCTGATTGCAGTGGATGCCTTAATTAGCGGGTGTTTGATTGCCTGTTGCCGAAATACAGGAAGCATCGAGCTGTTCAGTCATCAGGCTACACGTCACCCCACGCAAACAACCCTTGGATCAACACCCAAATGGAGACGTGGGGACCCTCGCCGGGAAGGCACAGCTCCCTCTCTGCCTGATCGTGCCTCACCTATGTGCCCGGTTACTCCGAGCTGCTCTGGCTTCCTCCTCTGCCGAGCTCTCTAACTGGCGACTCGCTGCTTCTGACCTACGCAGAAATTAAAGGCGAGGATGCTCAGGGTTGGTTACAGCACATATAGCCCTTGAGGTTCGTTTTAACTAGCACTAAGCAGCACTGTCCAAACGCAGGGCTGCAGGATGAATCATAGAATCATTTAGGTTGGAGAAGACCCTTAAGATCACCGAGTCCACCCATTGACCTAACACTACCAAGTCCAGCACTGAATTACAGTGCATAAGAGAAAAAGAAGCGCCCCTCTCAAATGGAGGGGATCACCCTCTGGAACCCCTTGCCGCAGGATGCCAGTCAGCAGCTTCCATTCCCAGTGGCATGTTTAGGCGTTCCCAACGCCAGCACGCTTCTGCCAGAGGTTAATGACAGAGCTGGGCTGAGGACCAGGGGAATCCCAGCCTCGCGAGGGCACCCACGCCTGCACGGTATCGCTTACGCCACCGCGGAGAGCACGTCTTCGACACACAGGTTGCACACCGCAAACAGAGGCACGTGGCAACATTTCTGAGGCAGGCGTGAGGCCGTGCTGCAAAAGAGAGACCGAGGTTGTCGTAGCACGGATGAAGGGCTGAGCTCGTGTTCCTAAGGCAGATCTGGAGCAGGACAGATCCTGCCTTCCCCCTGGGCCCACCCCTAGAAAGGCAGAAGCTCCAGCTGGAGAGCTTATGGGCGAAAGCACTCCCCTTTGTACAGGACTACAGAGATTTAAGAGGTTACCTCCCCAAAGGGTGGTAAACACCCCGCTAGACCAGCTGATTCTGTAGAGAGGGAAAAAGAAAAACCACTTTTTAAACCCATTCAACAAGTTACGTTGTTATAAATCAGCAATCCACAAGGAGCGTTCATCCTTTTCAGGGTTTGCAGAGCTTTACGGATCTCCCAAGATCACAGAAGTGGATTTAAGCCTCTGACAACGGGTCTGATGTAGGGAGCTCAGATCCCAAGGCCCCACATGGGAGAAAACACTGGTCCGTTCTCCCTCCTGGATTTCATTACCACCACCTGGCGCTGGCACGTGGTTTCGGGGGATGTTAGCAATGCTCGAGTGCCCGCAGGGTATGGGAAGCAGTCTGCTCCGCTCCGGAGGTATCCGGGGCAAACACGGATCCAGCTTTGCACCTGGGGAACCACCTGGGACTCAACCCAGTTGCGCAGCAGGTTTGATCTTACCTACCAGAACCCGTGTTTTTACCAAGAAGGGTGCTCAGTGCCACGCGGGGTAAGGAGGACACCATCCTGAGAGGTTTTACCATTGAGCCCTGCAGCAGACAGACACGTTAAGGACTGCCGAGCCTTGGCACAGGGACACGCTGTGTTACAGCACTGCGTTTTAGGAGTGAACTGACTGTACAGAACCCCTGTAACTGCTGGCCGGCAACAAGCGTGAGGCCAAATCCCCAGGGTTAAGTCTCACTGAGCGCAGCCTCTAGACAGGAGAAGGTTTCAGGCAAGGTCTGGTTCCTCCCCTCACCTAGATAGGAAGATGCCAGGAGCTGTTCTAGTCAAATCCTTTGCTGAGCTGTCAGCTTTATGCACTTGTACGCCCACTGACCTACGTAGAGATTGAAGGAGAGAGACCCGCAGTTAAGTAAATAAAAAGAACCCCTCAAGGCATGCTGACGTACTGGAAAGGAGCAGCTCTGGTTTAGGATCCCTACCAAGAAGTTTCCGTGTTTTACAGAGAGTAAGAGGTGTTAATTACAATTGCATCTTGTTCTCCTGCAGCTCAGGAGAGGGCAGACACTTCCATCAGTGCCACTGTGCAGGCAGTGAGCGAGGAATGGGGAAGACTGTTTCCGATAGCTTCCAGGAAGGGAAGTTAACACCTCAGAAGAGCTTCTACGAAAGGGATCATCCTCTGACCACAGCTCCTCCTCGTCCCTGCTAGTCTCACCACTTCAGCAAGAAATGAAACATTCAAAGGCAGCCACCAGCTCCCTCAGGGCTCTCCATGCATTTCAGCTTCTGAGACGTTTTGAACCACAGCTGCACACATCCCTGCAGCCTCCTTTCCTGAGGAGTCGTTGGAGCTCAGTGCTAACCCAGTAAGTTGCAAGAGAGCCCAACCCTCTGGGAAGAGCAGCAGGAAGGTCATCTTCAGCATCACCCATCACCACGTTACTGCTCTTCACGCACATTTTGGCAGTGACAATTTCACGAACTCACTTTAATTAGCACAATTACCTCAACTCCAGAACAAAGCTGTTAAATACAGAACACACAAGGAACTAAAAGCCACTGGGACCTCCACACAGCCCAAGCAGAAGATGCACGATCACGTCATGTGTAACGGACTGCACGCAGGAACGGCGATGCTCCCCCCTTGCACATGCTTGAACCGACAGCACTGAACGTGCTCAACACCACACGGACCGCTCAAAGGGGTATTTCTGCAAGCATGTCAAAAACCAAAACATCCCACACAAAGCAGCACAGAGCCCTCCCACAGCTCACAAACCTGACTTGCAGGAGCCACAGGCCTGCCATGCGCCGAACCAGCACGAGCCTTACCTATTTGCGGGCGAGTTGAGGCCTCCGCTGCCCAAGGAAGAAGTGGACAGGGTTGTTGCGATGGAGTCACTGTTAGCTTCGTCTACTGGCAGGGTCCTGGGCAGGAGATCTGGGCGACCAAGGTGGGAACCTGAGTTGAAGCACAGACTGTTCCATCACCAGCACAAGCAGGATCGTGTGGCACGAGCTCCCACACTCGCCAGGGGTCAGGATCCGTGCTGGATCCCACCCAATACATCCAAGACACCCGAGCACTAAAGAACCAGCCCTGCATGCAGCTCTGTTCCAGGTCTCCACACGACTGCCTAGCCCAGCTTCTCCCCTGACACAAACCCCAGGGGCACGGGCTGTTGGGAAGAGACCAGGCGCACCGGACTGCCACACGGCCTCAGCCCACTTCCCAGAGGAAGCGTGGGTCACGCTTGGGCAAGGCTGGAAGATCCCACAAAGATGTGTGAAGAAACAATTCCCCACCTCCACAACCTGGTCTTATCCTGCTTGTGAGTAAAGACTGGCTTTTACCCAAACATGAGGTTTATCATCCTGCCCCTGCATTTGCTGCAGCAGAACACCTGGAAACAACCAAGCCTTTGAAGGGCTCGCTGCTCCTCCAGCCCTTCTCACAGTGTTGCCCAAGGCCATTTGGTGTGTACAAGTCTTTGGCCCTGTCTGGTTTCTTGCACCCACAGCCCCAGAATACAGGCCCTCCCCTGGCAAGACCACAGAACAACGTGGAGGCGTCTTGCACAGCTCAGGAGGCAGCAAGCTTCAATTAGACAAATCCAAGCTGAAAAATAACTTCTCCAGGCTTTTTTGGTTTGGTTTTTTTTGTTTGTTTTTTTGTGGTTTGTTTTTTTTTAAAGCCCAGGCACCAACCTTGCTCTATATCCGCCTCTGCTGTTACTTGTGCTTTTGTCTCACAGGACATGTGCGACTGTGAAGGCACTCCTCCTTGACAGCTCCGCCGAGGAACTGTTGTGCCAGACCGGCTCTTCTTAGAAGGGGATGGCTTTACTTGGGGACAAAAAAAACCCAGAAAGCATTTTTCTAACATATTCAATGAAGGAGTAAAAGACCCGACGCAGCAACTTCATAGTGACAGTCTGGCGCGAGGGCTGTGCCCTGAAGGAAGAAGCTGATGGATGAAACAGCTCCTATAAGGTCACATCTATGAGGCAAGAACAATCTAGGAGGAAGGAAGGGGTGACACAGCACAACAGACTTCCTAAAGCTCTTGCACGCAGTCGTCCACCTTCCCAAACCACAGCTGCTGAGCAGGGAGAAGCCAGAACCCATGGCGACTGCCGAGGGTACAGCTGCGCAGAGGTACTCACGTGGTATTTTCTTGAACGCTGTGTTGCACATGAACCGTTGGAACCTTTCGGCGTAGAAGCTGGGTCTGTGCACAGATACAGTGTCCTAGAAGTCCAAGGGACAAACATTAACGTGTGAATCTGAGTTAGTAAGTGATCATGGTTAACATGAGCTTCCCTCGGGCTGCTAGCCCTGAAACACACGCTGTGCTGGACTGGGAACAGTCAGGGAGTCTCACAGTCACTCTCACTAGCAGCCGTGAGAAGCAGATTAGCTACAAACAGTAGGCATTGCATACAAAGCGATCAATACTCGTTAATGAACATGTAGTTGACCAGCATTAACAAACCCAACATTTCCAAGAGTCCCTAGGAAGTATTACTCCTACAAAAGAGGGTAAACACATGCCATAGGACCCTATGCCCAAAAGGAGCAAGGACAGCCAGCACAGTTTAAAAAAAGACACTGGGATTATTGCTAAACAATTTAAAAAGTGGTATTTTTCTACTTACCCCATCGTGTACAAGGGCCTTCCAAGAGTGCTCCAGCTTCTTGACAAACCTGACAAAGGAAAGAATTAAGAACCACGTTTACACCAAGTCCCCACTGTCTGTATCACATCACGCTCACTCATACCGAGCCTGGCTTCTGACCGCAGGGGCAGAACTCCCCAAATGCGGGCTACTCCGGCGTTAGATTCTCTTCAATGTCCCATTTTATTAAGCCTGTTCCCCAGACACCAGGGCTGACTGCAGAGTTCGCTCTTCCAAGGGGAAGAGTTTCACAAGCATAGTTATCAAGGGCAGTTAACTTGCAACGACATTTAACGGAGACCTCTGCACGTTGCATTTTAATATAAATAGAAGAAAAGGTAAGCCTTAAAGCTATTTTTCATTTTACAGGGAGAGGCAGTTATGGCCATTTTAAGCCACCACTTGTTTTTTCCTTGCCACTTCCTGCATCGTGCCTGTATATGACAACCACAGCGCACAAAAACAACTTTGTAAGAGTAAATCTATTCCAGGAACATGAAGTAAATACAGTAAGCAAGACCCAGAAACTGATTCCAAGGTGCCTGACTTCAAGAAAATAGAAAGTGGTAAATAAATAAAAATGTTTGTGTCTTAACTACTTCTTGAAAGCCAACCAAGCAGGAGCAGACAATGCTGGAAGTGGTCTGTTATTAAAGGTTTCTTACCGGTAGGACTGCAGCACATCGATGATGCAGATGAACAGCAGCAGCCTCTCCCCCTTTGCGTTGCGGGCTGGAATGCCTCCCATCCTAGAAAAGGACAGGGTACAAACATGACACAGGGTGTTCTCGCCCCCCACTGCCCCCCCTCACAGAGCCTAACGTGGGCTGAATATCACGCAAACTATTTAACAAGCATCAACACACGGGAGGCACCTTCTGCCCAGCCACCAGCTTGGGGAAGACAAGTCAAAGAGCTATTTTGGGAAGTTAGCTAAACCTCCTGAGAACTGACCCCACTTTTCCCTCTGCATGACAATTTAATTGTCCCCTACTCATCGATGAGAGGGGACTAAGCAACTGTAAGAATTAATTCCTACTCATCGATGAGAGGGGACTAAGCAACTGTAAAGAGCATCTACTACCAGCCATACTAAGATGGCAGCTGGACTTTATGGGCTGTTAAGTCTGATCTAACAAAGCACTATGCCTCTTGGGGGTAGATGGAAATAACTAGTTGGAGTTGCCAATAACCAGCGAGCAGAGAACCCTCAAAGGCCACCTGGAAGGCAAGAAAATCTTTTGTGCATTAAGGAAGGGAAATCAAAGATAAAAGCACAAAATTTGACATCGAGACCTCTCTGCCCTGCGTGACAGCAATCCTGTACAGCCCAGTCTGCATCTAAATTAAGTCTCTGTTAGCCCCTCACTGCTCACAGTATTCCACTGGGAACAGCAGCACCAACACAGACTTACTGGTCATCTGTCTCTATGGTGCCACCTCGCCGGGCCTCTCCTTGGATGGATTCCATGGCTGTCGAGTAGAGGGCCTTCTGGGCAGCGGGTCGCCGCATATCTGTCTGGGATGTCCCATCTGCCATCGCGTGCTCTCTCTGTGCCAGATCGATGTTATGGATTGCAACAAGCAAGCTGTAATCCATGATTTTAAAGCTCTGCAGGACCTGGGCAGAAAGTCAACAAAGGCTCGCTCATTAGTGCGAGCCCAGTGAAACTGTCAGAGCAGAGATTTTCAGAAGCGCACTCAGCGGTTTTGCCTAGAGCCCCGAGCGCAGTGAGGGGATGGCTTTCAATCCACAGCTCATGCACAGTCAGCTCATCTCTAGTCGCCAAAGGGAGTTAGAGGAAAGCTATCAGTACTCCTCCTGGTCAGACGGGGACCCAAGCCAGGGAGAACACTGACTTTTGCACGGCCACCCAAAGGAGCTTGACAACTTGGGACCAGACTCAGTCAAGCATCCCGTCCCTCTCCTCAGACCCTGCCCTGCTCCAGAGCTCAACCTTGGCAGAGGGTGCTTCCTCCACCTCTAGAGGCAGTGCTGGCTTTAATTCAGGTTGGAAAGATTGAAGGAAACCAGGGTCCAGGTCCTGCTTCTTGTGCACACCATCACCAAAAAAACAGGTTCTCTAAGTCAACACCCTGGGCAGAGGCTACAAGGGTGGCAGCTCCCATCTCCTTTTCCTGGAAAAGGCTCAGAAAAAGGAAGTAACTCTCCACGCCACCCTTCACCCTTCCACTTACCAAACAGTCTCTCTGTAACGTCTTGCACAGAGCATTATACATGTCAGAGTCTAAGAAGAGGCCATCAGGGATGTCCTGCATAAAATCCAAGTCCTTGTATGTTGGGAAGACCTTCTCCCGCTCCTTCTGGGATGCTCGGCGTTTGTAGGTGGAGCCCTTCAGGTCATATTTCAGGTGCATTTTGACAGACCGTGGCAGTAGGTTGTTCATCACGACAATGCGAATGTTTTTGCCTCCAGCCTGGACACAGTACAAACCGTAAAACTTTGGTAGCAGCGTCCTTGGGTTCTGGTTCAAATTCTGAAATGCCAAAGACAAAGAAATACCTTCAAAGCCATTCTGGTTATTTGCAGGCCAGTTAGAGGAGTTATTTGCTCCTTCCTGTGCTTCTGTATTGAAATGGAGCTGGCAAAGACTCAAAGCCATTGCCAAAGAGGCTAAGAGACAAGGGCAGGTGAACACAGGGAACAGATGGATGATGTCTGCAGTTGTTAATAACCTCTCTGGCAAAGCCTGGTGGGTCAGATAAAGGAAGGAAGGGGTTTGCTGCTCATTCTGACAGAAGCTACGCTGGGGAGGCTTCTGAGCAAAGGAAGATCTTGTGTTTAGCCTTTTTAAATTTGGCGCTTAGGTCAAGCCAAATACATCAGGATAGAGGTGGATCTAAACTCTCACGGCTACAGAAGGCACTAGACAGAATTTTGAAGAAAAACAATGTGGTTCTGGGATATAATCACAACAAAAAACTGCTTCTGAAGCCAAAAATATTAAGGAATTCAGCAAGTGACCCCAACTCAGCTGGGGCACAGATCAAACCTCCACTCACATCCACCAGGTGGTACACAGCCGCATCTGTCACACTTGTACAGCTGGGGGACCCTTCCCTAGCTTGCAGAGAAAGCCTTGCCCAAGGGACTTACCATGTAGTAGCCAGGCAGCAGCTTCTGTAAGAACTCAGCCTCTTTGTATGTTCTGAACCGTTTTGATGATAAACTCATCATCACTGGATACATAGAAGAGGGATCCGCTGGCCCCAGAGTTTGAAAGTTCAATGAGCGGCTCATTGCAGAGCGAGTACTGAGGAAGACAAGGTGAGAAACATCAACAGGCAACTTCAGCGAGAAGGCTCTTCCTTCTAAACATTAACAGAGGCAGACCCCAGGGTGACATATGGAACCCACTGCCGCGCTTACGGAGCTTGCCACAGGGCCTCACAGTGCTCCATAGCTCCGAGAGGGGGAAGAGGACAAACACCCATCAACACAGAGCACACAACAGATGGGAACCTGGTCCAACCACTAACTCACCAGATAGTCGTCTGGTCGGATCCCAAAGAGCTCCCGGAAATAGCGAAAGGCCACTGGAGCGTAGGTTTTGAACCGAAAGTCGTTGTAGTGATGAGCGGGGGTCAGGTTACTCCCTTCACTGATCAAGGAGAGAAGCACACACAGGTATTTGAAACATTTCTTAAGAAACTGCCCTAAAAGCAAACACCCACTGGCTGGCTCCTTCTAACACACTGGAGGGCTAGAAAGCACCCACCCAAAAGGGACACACATCGGCACACCCAACGCGACCGATGGTGGACATACACAGGGAAGAGCCAGGGTTCTTCAGAAACAGGCCGCAGGCAGGAGCCAGAGTTGGTTTGGAAGCATGGAGCAGCTCTGCTCAGGAGACCTGCGCTCGCTCCTGCACTCAACTGTCCTGGTTTGCTGTGGCTTCCTCAAGTGCAAGCAGGGTTAGGAACTAATGCTGCTACTCACTATCAAAGCACCACAGAGAGAAGAAAGCAAGCACCAACCTTGGGAAGAAAATACTTTCTACTACGTAGAAATCTTGCATGAGAACATCTCTTTCGGGTTTGGTGCTCAAGCTTCCAACTGTGTGTGTAATGCCCAGCTGAATGGCACCTTTCAAGGCAGACGATGTCGTCTGAAGAGGCAGAGAAAATGAGTCAGACATTGTGGAACAGCAGACTGGAAATAGGAATGAAAGGAGTTAAAGAGAGCCCCCAAGTTTAAAACAGCACTGTTAGCCGGGGTATTTTACACCTACTGGTTCCAGCTTCCACCATTTCTTTCTCATTGACTAACATCATTCTGGCGATAGGAACACCTGGGAACACCCCCACCTCCCCAACAGCATCCCGCTCCATATTTGCACTCTGGATGGTCGAGCAGTAAAAGACTTGAACTGGAATCAACATCCAGCTGGTCCTTAAGAGGACTGAATTTCACTTCATCCTCCCACAGCACTCATCTCTACACCCCACAGTCAGTGGGGGAAGACACCCAGGGACAGGTTATCTTGTGCCCCTAGGAATAAACATAGTTCTTGACACCTTGGTCTGCCAGGTCTTGGAACTGTAAGCTTTGAAGCTTGCCTTTCCCCAGCTCGGGCACAGACTTGGGTGTGCTACAGGAGAAGGCAGGCACAGCCAGCACACAGTGCACACTTGTCTGGTGCTACCGCATTCCTCCATCTGCCTCTCTTGCTAGGTCGTGGCTCTTTAACCCTAAGGAGATTACTGTTGATTTTAAATAAGGAGCAGAGACATGAATCCTGCTCCTGCATCCTCTGCACAAACTGCCCAAGAACAATGCAGGACTGTGTTCTTGTAGCAGGCTCTCACATCAAGAGTCCTCTTCTGCCTATGAAACACATGATCTCATCTCAGACCACCGAGACGTGCTTCAGCCTAGCTCGTGCTACGGGCTGTGTTTCCCAGAACAGCCCAGAGGAGATCTGCTCAACACCCCGATGTCATGGCCTGCCAGTTCCCGGAGCACGGAGATATGAACCCTGCTGGAAATGTTGAGGCTGCAGAGCAGGTGCAGGTTGGATTTGTGCACTGCAGCGCATGGACGTTTCACTTGGCTTATACATAAAGCAACCGGACCAAGAACAAGATCCAGGGCTCAGGATCCAACTAGTTTGTGTTTGTTTCCTCAAGCTAAACAAAGCCCAGCCCCCTGCCACATGCAGGAAATCACTGCAGATCAAAGCATTTGGCAGCAGAGGACACCGCAGTGTCTGGGGGACAAACGTTTCGAGCTTTTTCCCCAGACACACATCCTCCATGAAGCCTTGTAAAATGACCAGGCACGTTTCTCCCACCGAACTGTTTTTTCTGTTATCATAGCTGCAGGAGACCTGCTCACGGTTCCCTGAAGAGAGCGCAACAAAAACCGGCAGTAGCTCTGGCTTGTCAGCAACGTCCTTCTCCACTTCAGCTACCTGCTTGTAGCTGGTATTTATTTCGGTATTAGATGGGGAAGGAAGAAGAATTTGGCTCCACTTTCCTTGCTTACCCTCTAAAGGCTAAAGTTGCTTGAAAACAGATCTCGGCTCAGCTCACCTAGCCCTGCTTAAACTCCCAGGACAGCCTCACTGCTGAGAAGCAGAACTTAACCAACAGGGCACAGCAGTGCTGCCTTGTTTGTGAGCACAGAGCCACAGGGCCAGGTTGCCAAGGAACAAGTATTTTTCTCTTCTATTAGCCAACACGAGCAGCCGAGCAGCTGACTGCCTGTTTACAATCACTTTTATAGGGCAAAGAATTTAAAAAAACAACTTACCACCCCTGGAAAAGGAAGGGATGGAAAACAGACAGACAGTCCATTAGTCTCGTTCCCAGATAAATCCCATGTGGTCTCCCCACCAGGTTTCTGGGAGCCTTGCAAGAAACATTTCAGGCATTTTCCATTGACTTCCACTTTCCTCTCCTATTACTGCTGTCTAACCTTCTATCTCTGAATTTGCTGGGAAACCAGAAGCCGGATCCCAACCTTGAAGACACAAGCAATTTCAAAAAGGGCACTGTAGCAAAAGCTGGCTTCTGCAGAAATACCATTGGAATTCCTCCCTTCCACTCCGATTCCTGAAGGACAGCTATACCTCTGGATTAGAGATTCCAGACCAGAAGCTCCGCTCACACGAAGCGGTGCAATGCCCCTATCAACACATTTAATCTACATCCTAGACATCAACCTCACTTCAGAGAAAGTCAGCCCATTCTGATGAAGTCCAACAAACGGGAAGCAGCATCCACAAGATACCCACACTTACAGGCTTTTTAAAAATACCCAAACAATCTCCCCTTTGTACGGCAAATTCCAGTAACGCCACAAGATCTATAGAAACTACTGTGCCCAAAGAGCACAGAAAGCACCCAGTAAGCCAGAAGAGGCCTAGGAAGCGTTGCTAATGGGCAAAGTTTAAAAATAATCCCCTCTTTAGAAGCACATATTCAGTCCTTTGGTTCCTTTCCTTTGAGGTCTTCAGCGACTCTCACCGACGTTACCCACTGTCTAACGCCGCACCTCATGAGACACCGCTGCCCCGGGCGGCACTTGCATTGCAAAGAAGAGAATGACAACAGTCAAATGAGTTGTGTAAGAGGCAACTTACCTTTTTATAGGTAGTCTCACCCGTGGAGTCTACTCCTCTGTGCCCTTTCTTTATCGTCTGTGAGCCTGGCTGCCCAGAACCACCTGGCATCTAGGATTGGAGTAAAAGATGGTAAGAACCAAGGGCATAAAACCCGGTGTCTTCGAGGCCAGTGGCTGCCCAGAACCACCCGGCATAATTTTGCTGTTCTCAAAGATGGAGCCTGTGAAGTGCTGAAGCCTCAGGTCCCTGCATCCGTGCGAAGGGAGGACACAGTACAGGCTGGGCTCTGGGACAGCAACAGCATTGAAATGTCTTCAGAGAACTCATTGACCCCTGCGTGATTGAGGCTGGACATCTAATTAGAGAAGAACACCTCCACGCAAGACCACCTGGAAGGGTTTGGTTTTTTCTAACCACCCTCATCACAAACAAATCAGCTCTAAGCAAGTCTGGGCCCACCACAGCTGGTCACCATGCTTTCTGCCAGTAAGGCCAAGGCTTTGAGGAAACATTTTAGGAAGGTGGCAAATTCTGCTCTGATTCACGCCACAAGAGCTCGCTTGACTCATCGTCTTCCAGCACATGCAGCTGTTAAATGGTGTTTCTCAGTCAAAACAAGCTGAACATCTTGCTCGCAGCAGCAGATCTACATGGTATTTTGGTGGCACAAGAATTGTTCAGTTCCAGGACAAGCTGGGGTTTTAAGCGGAGATTCTCTCTGTACATAAAGATGCTCTGATTTCCCAAATGAACAGCTGCAGCTTACTGTACCTACCACTGCCTGGTTTACCCCTAACCTGCCTGCTATTTTTCCAATCTCATTCAATTCCAAAATTGGGCATTCTCTCAGCCAGAGAACAAACCAACTTGTGGGTCAGAAACTTACCTCGGGGGTGAGCGACTTTTTGAAAGTAGATGATCCTGTCAAAAGAAAAAAGCCACGCTCAGAAAGGGTTAATAATTATTATGCATCACAAAAAAGCCTGACGCACCGCCTTGGTTCGAAGGCATCTGAAAAAAGCACTGACTCATGGCTGATTTCTTCCCAGCTTCTCCTCTTACAGCAGAATTTTTGTCAAGCCGCAAGGAAATGCTATTCTGCTTACCGCTCGCCAGCCAAACTCAGTTTTGTGCTGATGCTACGGGCTAGGGCCCGCTCTGCCCCGCTGAGCTGGCTTCCAGCGCTCCTCTGGCTCCACACCAACATGCAGGACCACCTTCAGCGGTGGGATCCGCCACTTCCCTGCCTGCGACGGAGTTACATGGCTTCGCAGGATTACTGCCATCTATTAATTAGAGCTGGGAGGGCCAAGTGTTCTGCAGTGTTTCAGTAGATGCGCTGAGCACGCTTTATCTTAAAATTATTTCCAGGACCTTTTATTAAAAGGCCTAAAACATCAACTTGAAGCCAAACCCAGGAATTTTCTTATTACCACGGTGCTAAATCTCTGTGAGGCCATGTACTAACTTCTATCTTTTAGGCCTGGATTCTCGTCTTGGTTTTTTTTTGGATGCAGTAAGGAAAAAAAAAAGCCATTAGATGACACCGCCCCTCTGCGATGTCCGCCTACACCACAAAGCCACCAGCCAGGCTGAGACCCACACCAGTGAGGCCAAGAGCTCCCAGGACAGGGACACTGCCCCCGCCAGGCAGATGCATAAAACAGCGATGTGCTCTCTGCCTCCAGCCCAGAAAGCCAGACAAGCTCTTTCATTTTGTTTTCCTTCCTACTTCAGACACAGCGACAATTTTTTTTTTTTTTTTTTTTAAATTTAATGTGGGAGCCATGACCACAGCTTTATAAAACTGCCCCCACCCAAAAGCAACACCCCCGTCGTACCACGCAGTAAGCACAGGCTGGCTTCCCCCCCCAGCCAGTAATTGTTTTACCAGATTAAGCATTACCACATATAATCCTCGCCGTGGTTCTGGGTCCACCCACCGCTCGCTCAGAGAAGCCCCTTCCGCTCGCCTGTTACAAGCGGTGTAAAGACTCACGCTGTGATTTCAGCAAGCACTACAGCTCTACAAAAACTGCATTTCAGCAGAAGGAACAGAGGTACTTAACAGCGAAATCCAGCAGCCTTCTGATCCCCTTATCGAGTGATCAAAGTTCTCATTTCAATACATATTAAACAAGCAAGAAGGAAAAAAAAAAACCTGTGACAAACGCTTTTTGCTAAACAAAGCGAGCACAGAATGACTGGCTCCAACCGCCTTCCCACCCCCTCCCATTCCCCTTTAAAGACAACAAAGTTTGTCCCAACAAGCTCTAATTTTTGTGTTTGAAGTTTCTCACAGCTGGCTCTCCTCCTTCGCCTCCCCCCAGCGCGCTCGGGACTCTTCGGAGCCGGCCGCCCCTCTTCACCTCTCATAGAATCATTTAGGTTGGAGAAGACCTTTGAGAACATCGAGTCCAACCATAAACCTAACGCTGCCGAGTCCCACTAAACCACGTCCCTCAGTGCCACATCTGCAACAGAATCACAGAATCGTTTAGGTTGGAAAAGATCTTTAAGACAAGACCCCTCTCGCATCCCTTCCCAGACCTGGGCCAGTGGCAAGGGAGCATCTCCAGCTAAAAGGAAGCTTCTGTGAGTTGGTGTGTAATGAGGAAACCAGTAAAACTCGACTCCATCACCTTGCCGCAAGGCTTTTGAGCTCACCAAGATCCATCAGGACACAGGGACAGAGGAAACATCCCAGGCACCACAACCTAACACCTGTTCAATAGCAATTAAGCCTTTTTTTTTTTTCTAAACAAGTATCTGTAATTATGTAAATCAAAACCTCTAAAAGCCCCATGATTTAAGCACCGCCAGCCTCATCACCTTGGAGATTCGCCGTGTTAATATTTAATCATCCGTGCAAAACTGTATTCCACTAGGATTCAACCAAATCTCTCTCACCAGAGGACCCGGCAGCAAATCTTCCCCGCGCTGCCTCAATCACACGCAACAGACATTAAAAGCAAGAACATAGGAGGAGCCTTGGCTGGAAAAGCAGGCATCCCAAAGCACATCTGGCTTGTCCCCTAGGACACCATGGGATAGCTTCATCTTGGAGGCATCACCGTGATTTTAAGGAAGATGTACGGTATCTCAGACCAGAGCACCAGCTTCACCTTCTCTTCCCCCACTGCCCCAAGACCACGGTGCCTCGGTTTGCCCTTTCATGTAGTGATCTGGGAAGTGACAATGATGATCCTCCCAAGCGACAACGACGATCCTCCCAAGCAGGCCGGTTACAAGAAAGGGTGAGTCAACAAGGGAAAGCCACAGCGTGTGGTCAGAGCATCGGCGCGGTCGCAGCATCGCTCCAGTCCCAGCACACCCAGTTTCCGAGGCAGGAAGCTCCCCCTCCCTCTCTCCCTCCCTCCCGCTAGTTTCCAAACGAGTTTGCTGCCGATTGGGAAATAGGTAATTCCTGTCTGACCACGATAAAAAACACTTATTCACATCTGAGTGCAAGGATGAACCCGCAGCTGAGGAGGTCTGCCCAGCTCCGAGGCCGGACTGAAGCTATGTACAGCTCCATCACGCGTCCTGCAAAAACAAGCGCTCTCCATTACCAAAAGCGTTACGGGCTGAGGTCAGAAAACAAAACTCAGAGGTTTCCATAGGAAAACATTTCCGTTATCGCCACCTTTTTTTATTGCTATGTAAAGGCAGTTTGTTTGTCTGTCCCATACGTGCTCTGCTTGGAGAAGCAAAGGTGTTAAATTCAATGGCATCAACATAGCAAAATGAAATTATTTCCAAAAAGCTGCTATTTCTGGATCTGTTTAAACACCTCCAAAATGAAAGACTTCATCAGTCATTAATTTAGCCCCAGGTTGACAGCTGAAAAAAATGGCTTAAGAGACCTAAACAGTTAATTCTGGCCAAAGGAAACAGATCAGGGTCAGAAAGTCCTGTCCGAAAAAGAATTCACCATGTCCCCGAAAGTTTCCTCTCTCCTTTCTTTCATGATTCTGGGAGCAATCCCTACAGGCGATTTCAGAGCATTCCTCCGAGCTGTTTACTGGAAGCTGAATCAACCTAAATAAATAGCTGCCTGCCTTCCGCCAGCCTTAGCTGTCCAGGATCATTTTCAGCCAGCAGCAGACAGTATACTCTTACCGACCGTGAATTAAATGCTAGGGAAAAAGGCTAAAAAGTTGTGGCGATGGCACCTGGTCAAATGGTTTGGACAAATAATTCACTGGAAGGGGCACGTTACAAGGCATTCGGGTCAGATCCTCCCTCCTCCAGCAAACAAGCATGCTCATTTGGTACAGCCAGGAGAAATACCCGCTTCGCTCTATTTTTAAATAGAGCTGCTCAGACAGATTTTAGCTGCGCCTCATGTTTTCGACAAAAATAAAAAGTGAAAACGTTAGCACACCCAAACACATCATCAAGCTCAACTCTCCAGCGTCTGAGCAGGGCAAGCCGAGCGCCAGGACACATCACACCGGCATGCACTGCCCTTCCTCCCCGGCCCTGCTGCTGACTGCGGGCTTTATCTCAGCCGAACGGGCGGCCAGGGCGAGAGAGGCAGCTGGGTTTTCCCCAAACAGGTCCTCTTAGTGCTCCAAGATGGGAACATCCTCCTTCCTCACCTGGGCTCTGCCTGGAGGCAGTGACACCATCAGTAAGAGCACTTCTGCGCACACAGAAGTCGTGAGACCAAGCCTCAGCCCCACCAAACGCTACCTGGAGGACGTGTGGTACGTTGGAGCCTCCATGGGCACCTCCAAGTCGCTGTCGGCACAGAAATCCCCCAACACATTTTTTCCTCTGCCTGCAGATCCCCCCTCCCCCAAAAAGCCTGTTCAAAACCAGGCAGAAACCAAAGCAGAAAAGCCCCGCTGGAACAATCCTGCTGGTGCGCACAGGGATGCGGAGAGCTGTTTAGATGTCAGGAGAGCGCTTACACAACACACTTCAGTAAAACAGCAGCTTTTGTGGAGCGTGGTAGCAGCTTATTTAGGGGAAAAAAAAACCCACTAAGTTTTGTCAATCCTCAAAAGCCAAGACGGTTACGTAACACGGCATTTTGCTGCTGGTTACGGGAGAGGAAGAAACCATGCTTTTTTTTTTTTAAGCACATATATGCAATGCATCTACCTCTTCGAAACGACATCACCGAGCAGCACAAAAAGCTGAAATCTATATGAGGAGAAACAAAAAGGTTATACAGGTATCACGGCGAACCGCTACTTCAGCTACCTGAAGAAACAAGAGATTTTCCCCGAGAAAGTTAAAAGAAACACAAAAAGAAATCCAATTTCCACTAGTTCAGAAAACACAGGTCCAAACTTCACAAGCAAAACACCTCGGAGCAAGGCACCTTTGTCGCGCATAATAAAAACCTGTTCCACGGCTCTGGAAGAGAAGAGCCTAAATATTTCACTTGCTTCTCTCATGGAAAGCTCTTATGGAAAACTGTAGAAATCTGGCCTGAGCTAAGAGTCAAAGCCAACGGTCTTAATCAGCTGGAGCAGCTGGAGATGGAAGAAAACCCATGAGATCACGCAGCCCACCCCTGCCAGCGCAGAACACGGCCCTCCAGAGGAAGATAAAACACTGACAAACACTTGATCTTGGCCAGAAGGCCAAGCAGTGAGTAATAATATTGAAATTCTCTGCATCAATAGATTTGTTCTGATAAATTATGTTAAGGACATTAAAGCAACAGCTTCAAAGCTGCCGTAAGAGAGCTCGTGAATTCAATTTCTAGATAAAGAGCTCTTGCACGTTGTAGATCCCTCTTTGGGTTATCTTTCCCACCACCGTTAGCATTCGGCAGCTGACGTACGCGTGACTGATTCGACTGCCCTGGATTAGCACATCTTCCTCCCTCTCCCCTGCACTTGTCTTAGGAGCCTGTTGATGGAGGCACAGGACAAGACACTCCCGAAAGTCACTGGATACCGCTGACGTGTCCACGCCGGCAAGCGGGTGACGCGTTGGGAACAGGCCCAGGGAAAGAGAGAGGAGACGCAATCTCTGTAACGTTATCTAGACACGTTTCGCTGCTTTGCAGAAACAGTAAACCCTTCCTCAATCTCTCTTCACCAGCAAACTGCCAAGTGCTCTGCGAGGAGGTCAGCGTACCTAGCTACAGAGAAATAAAGTAATGCTTTAATCCAAGAGGTCAGGGGCAGAATTAAGAACAGGTTTCCATGCATGAGGCTACCGGCATTTTCTAAGTACCCAGAAGAGAGCTGAGGCCAGGCGTGAGATCTAGAAATCAATTTAAAACAAAAAAAACCCAGACCAAGCAACTCCTCTGCCTTCTGCAGTGGTGAGCAGACGAGGTGCTCACCAAAGGTGAGGAGAAGAGAACGTAACAGAGAGGATGGGGTTTGGGCTTCCACCTCCATCACCTGGAGGTTGGTGAGCACGGGTGAGCGCTCACGTCAGCAGATGAGCACTGCCCTCACCGAGATTCTGGATCCACTGTTTGGGGCTTGTCCCAGCGATTCCAGGAAAAGCCGTGCTTCACGGCAACCAGTTATTTGGGAGCGCCAATCCAAAACCAACACAACTCACCAGGGCTGGGAAGAAACCCCTTTTCCTTCGTGTCTCACCAGCACAGCAGACCTTGACCAAAGATCAGTGGTCACAAGAGCACCGACAAACAAAAGCCTGTCTAAATGTGCACGGAAACACAAATACGTCTTGACTGATGACAAGCTACTCGCTCCACTGAAAAACATTTGAATAAAAAAACCCTCTGCGCCAAGTAAACGAGACTCAGACGCGTGATGTCTTCAGCAGCAGAGGATGGAGGCAGCCCACGGAGCAGCAGACAGATGGTGGGACTAAAGGGTGGAGACTCTGAAGACAAAAAGGACAGTGAGCAAGAGGTTTCCAGCATCTGCTCCTGACTCCCGGCTGTATTTCTTCCCCACCATCCCTCTCCTGAGACCAGCCCTTTGGCCGGGGCCATGCCCTCCTGCTCCCCCAGAAACACCAACTCTGAGGTAGAGCAGACACACGAACTCTTTGGTCCTCGTTATCAAACTGCTTGGGAGTCAAAGAGCACCACGGAACTGCAAAAATAACAAAGAAAAACCTGCAAGCAAGTTCAGCAAAACTACCTGCGGCTTCAGGGAAGAGGCTGGAAATGAGGCACAGAGGAGCACGGG